CTTCAGCTCCGGATATCTACAGGTTATCTTTTTCTTGATTGACAAACTTATGTACCAGCTTCTAAAATTCAACCTTTAGCCATTTTGCTATACCTGATAGATGAGGCTGCGATGTACATAACATACCGCTGGAACGAAACTCTTTTATGTTAAAATTTAAGACACATACACAACCAGACTAAACTCTTTGCAGTTTACCTAGCTCTTAGCAGCTCCAAGCTCAACCTAGAGTCCTACAGGTGATGGCATCTTTTGTCCACATATATTTGTCAGACCTCAACATTTCCACATTTACTTTTTCAGAATGCAACATTCTCCTCTATGGGTATGTGCATGCCGTGCTCTCTCTGCCACAGACAACCCAATATATCTAACCAAATAGAATATAGCTGCTTTGATTTTGGTCATCACACCTTTACTTTTGTTATTATACTATATGTGGTATAAATTGCTCCAGAACACATCGGTCGATTTCCTGGATGCCTGTACTTCACTAAGAAGCAAAAAGGAAACAAATAACATTTACAAATGAAGTATATATTTTACTCCCCAAGTTATTTAGACACTGTCAGAAGCAATGCACTAATGAATCCATTTCAGGTTTATGTGGATACTGTTGGTGATCCTGAAAAGTACAGAGTGAAGCTCTCTGAAATATTTCCAACAATCAAATTTGTTGTTGCAAAAAAAGCTGACAGTCTTTACCCCGTCGTAAGTGGAGCCAGTATTGTTGCAAAGGTGACTTGACATCTGCCACTTTGTCTCGCTCTATTCATCTCCCTTTGCTAGACTAAATCTGAATGTACAATTCTTAATGTCATTTTGAACCATCTCTCAGGTTACTAGGGACCGAGCGTTGCGGGATTGGGTGCTTGATGAAACTGCTGAGAACATGCATAAGAACTTTGGATCTGGATATCCTGGAGGTGTTTTTTTATTTCCATTCAGTTATAGTTGGGAATATATGTTGCTAGATTCTAATATCTTACTCAAAATGGATGGGGAAATTTGGCATCCATTTTTGCCTGTAGATCCTGAGACAAAAGCTTGGCTGGATCATCACAAACACGTAGTTTTTGGTTTCCCAACTTTGGTCCGTTTCAGCTGGGGAACATGTAATTCATACTCCAAGGATAATGTTGAAGTACTATGGTGAGTCCATTTATAACTCCCATAAAACATTTCACATGATTCAACTTTAATATGCAATTGGAGCATGCAGGGATCCTTTATTTAGCATCTCATTGTTTTTCTTTCTCCTCAAATCCCTCTGTGTGGTTAATCATATCAATTGGTCTATTTTTTCCTTCAAATTCTTTTCATGCTTATAACCATTGGAAATGTGTCGGGATAAGAAAACATTCTTTAAAAGAAAGAAAAAGCATCCTCGCCTCTATTGAGCTATTCTTCTGATAGGTTTCCTCTACGGCTTTTAATAGAGAGTTGGAACTAGGAAACGAGTGAGAGCTATTATTGTTTAATGTGGATCCTTTTTATGTGGTTTCCATAGGGAGTCTGATGCTAATGATGAAGATGAATCCAACGGAAGAGCTAGTAAGCGGCAGGTGAAGCTAACTGATATTGGTTTCACAGGTGTAAAGAGGAAAAGTGAAGATATCGAGTCAAGTGGGAAAGGCCGTTGCAAATTCTTCCAAGCTCGTAAGCTTGAACTCCTCTCACAGTTTTGAGGGACACAATTGATATTTACTGATAGGATGAATTGTAGCTTCATACCTTATTCATCTGATATAAACTAGAACAGTGAAATTGGTTCCTTCGACATCCTTCCCGGATGGTGATTAGATTAGTTTGTTATACGTACCTGCTAGCTGATTGAAAAAGTGTTGGCCAGATTTGTAACTCTGAATGTCATAACATCATATAGGATTATTCATACTTTTTTCTCTGGCTACCAAAGTCTTTGTACTCGCCACGTCTCCAGCTTGCCGCTTCTGGAATATCTTTTGCTTTCTGCAAACAAATAGCGTCTTAAAGAACTACGAACATCCCATTTTTCATTGTCATATTGGACATAGGTTAAACTCCTTATTACATCATAAGATGTAGCTACTGAATTTTCGCCTTACCCAGATCTGTCTCATTATCAAAAATTTAGTTTGGATGAAGTATCTTTTTTCTTTTTCAGAGTATAGGGTACTAGATGATCTTTATACATATCTAATGGCGTTGTCCTAGGAATGAGTTGACAAGTACTCCTATAGTTCTTAGACACCCAGATCAATCAGGTTGAAAAAGCATTAAGCATTGGCCATTCTTACCAAATATCTTAGTGTATGAGTGGAGGTCTATATATCTTGATTGACCTGGGGTTTCATACTTTTGGCACTTTTCTTACTCAGGATCACTTAAATTATATGTTATTTGCGGAACTAGGATTTTAACTTAGTTCTGGATTTTAGAACGATGACTACAAGTGCTTATAAATGGGTTCTAAATTTAATATTTGTACATATTTAATGAATTCTTAACACAAATGTACTGTTTGAGCAAAGTTTTGGGTTCGGCTGAACTCGTGCCAGGCTTCTATTCATATGTGCCAATTATTGGTGTTTGATGTATCTGCTTTCCACATACCCTGCTTCTAGCTTTAGAACTCGGATACAATAGATTAGTTCCACCTCATTGAGGAGTTCTTCACGTTTTAGGCACCCTTAATCTAAAGCTAGAATGAGTTGTTTGAGACATTTCTGGGCTTATTTGTCTAAGTTTATGATTCACAAACGTTTGAAAGTAGCTTCTTTATGTTTTGTCTTCACAAGTGTCCTTAAATTTTCGCCCTTTATTCCCCGAACAATTTATATGTCTGGATATTTTGGAGCTAAATACTTGATTCTGAGCATGAATTTTAGATGTGGAAAGAAATGACTTATAGTATATGCCAAGTTTGAATTTTCTGCTTAAGGTTATGTTACACATTTAAATCAAAGTATGCATCAGATGAGAATAAGTTCTTTTCAAATCTTGAACTTTGAGTAGATGTTGTGGAGAAATCATATATCAATTCTCTTCTGCTGAAAGGAATAAAAGAAAGGGAGTTCCAACAGGGAAAGTAAAATATTTGGTTAGGAAGTATGAGCAAAGAAGAATTAAGTAAAAGTTGGTATGTTAATATACGGGATGCTTGGTATGATGAAAGTCGTTTTCCAGGAAAATGTTTTAAATAAAAAAGTTATTTTTCTAGTATTTGATTACTAGAAAACATCTTCTAAGAAAAATATTTTTCATCATAAGGGAAAGATGACTGTCTTCGCTTATTAACGGAAGTTATTTTCCTTGCAACTGTGAGACAAAAAGGGGGAAGGATGGATTTTCACTTCTCTTCGGAGCGGAGCTAGAGTGCCGGGAGCGGGTTCGCCGATTCGGTCAAACCCAATAGCTTTGATTTGAACTTTGTATTTGTCTTAAAAAATCCATTAAATATGTATAAATTATTAATTTAGAACCTAATAACTTAAAATGATTAGAATCCCCAACCCATAAGCTTAAAATTCTGGTTCCACCTCTACTACCCTTTTATATCAAACATTTGGAGGGAGAAGGATCTTACTTGTTGAACCTAACATAGGCAGGTACTTTGAACACTCGCTATTAAATTCAAAAGGCAAATTACCTTTGACCGCTGAACAAGAAGAAGATAGAGAATTCTACATATCCAACCTCTAGAAGAAAGGAATCTCACATACTCACTAGAGTTTTCTTATTTCTTTTGTGTTGATGAATGAGAAATAAGTATACATCCATCTGTCTAAGACTCTAAGTCTTGGTGGTCAGAGTTGTTCGGTATTTATCTGTGTTGATGAGATGTAGAAGTTATCTGGTGGAATTAGTCGAGTTGCACGTAAGTTGGTCCGAACACCGTCATTATAAAAAAAAAAAAAAAAAAAAAAAAAA